CAACACATTCACAGTTTGGATGTACTTTACATGTTTTAGTTATTCTAACCATGTGTTTAGTGTCTCTGCTTAGTTGTCAATTTGGCTGTAAGAAAATAGCTGAAATTGCTGCAAAGTCAGTAGTTTTTCTCGAAGTTGGAGAGTATGTAACTTTGAAAAGTCTTTTTGAAAGAGTTTTTTGTACAGCTCAGCTTGGGATTATTAGAATTATGTTAATGTTGTGAAAATTAATAAATTAATGTAACTACTAACAATGTAGTAGTTACTTCTACCTAAAAGCTCAAGTTTCTGCAACAGCATAATTTGTGTTATATATACTTATTCTTTGGTTGTTAAACTTAAATTCATTTGTATACAGTATGTATATATACATATACGTATATATATATATATATATATATATATATATATACGTATATATATATATATATACATATATATACATACACACATTTTGCTCAGATATAATTCACCCTCTTGAACTACATTATTCACTAAATACATTTGTCTATATCATATTATACCTATAGTTGTATGGGGCAGTAGTACGCAAGCAGAACATAGTGCTCAATGTATAGTGGTATATAATTTTTACTGATCTTAAGTAGTTTCTAATGGTCTGATTTTGCTTCATATCCTCTTGCACATGGTAATACTTCTATGTGAAGGTGTGTGTGTACCAGGAAGTGTGTAGCTCTATGTAATGGATCCTCTGTCTCTTCCTCCTCTGAGGGCACATCACCGGCACACAGGTGCTAATGACGTGACACAGCCGTTGAGCTCCCCCCCACCTCCATAACATGCAAACACCTGAATCCTGCGCTCTGTTTGATGTGGAAACACACACAATACATTCTGTCAGTCTGTGGAGAAATCTCAAAGAGGGCTGCCAGCTCTCAGGATTTAGGGGGATGGTGCTAGCAGAGAGAATTTTTGATACAGGCCCAAAATTATGCCACGAGAATCCGACTGAAAGAGGCCCAAGAGCTATGATAGATTGTGCACAAATTTGTGTCAAATATGTGTTTGAATAGCTGTGTTTGGGTTTTAGATGAATTGCTTTTTCAGTGCTGGTGAGGTAAGAATCTGAACTTATTTCAACATTTATAGCTACAGTTTACATCAAAGCAACAAAAACCAACAAAAAACATTTTGTTTGGAAGTGCTATTTCTGGATTTACAATAACACTGTACACTGCAATACAAAGGGTTTTTCACTGTTAAAGTAAATGCATGTAAATAAACCATACATTTATTGTATTTTAACACTGTTGTTGTTAATCTACAGAAATTGCATGTAAACTCACAAAAACAAATGGTCACTTTCAATTTCACAGACATTTGCTTTTATTTTAATGGTTGCTACTGTTGTCATTGTGGTAAAACATTGTTCAGAATAACTAGTTAAACTAATGAATTACAGTAAAAGGCAGTTTTCTAAAAAAATTGCTGTAATTTTACAGATTTGTACCATCGTTGAGAAAACATGCAGCTCAACTTCAAATTATAAGGTAGCATTTTCCTTTTGTGGGCTTCAGGATGTGGACAGCAGTGGGATTGCTGGGGTTCAAACTCACAATCTCCACTGTGTCACAGGTTACTATGTTATTTTTACAATATTTTAACAGCAGATTTTTACATACAGAAATCTGAGTACTTTCTGGAGCTTGTGACTGATGCAATGAACAACCAAAAATGATATTTAGGAAAATATTTGACTGAACTGAGAAGTTTGATTGTGTTAACTCTGGTGTCCTCAGGTTGTGTTAACTGTAGAAAAGCAGTATAATCAGTTACCTTAAGTTACTAATTCATTTTGACTTGACTTTCATTTTTAACAATGTAATTTTACTGTTATTTAACAGATTTTGCCTGACACTCTTGCTGCTGGACTTTTTACCATTTGTCTGCATTTCTTTTTTTACAGTGAAGTACAATAAGACTTTAAAGTGATAATTCAACTTCAACAATGATAAAGTGATAATTCAACAATTCTCACCTTTACCCCAAACGTACTCAACCAGCCACCAAACACTCAATGTTCAGTGTTTGCACTGGAGCTACAAGGCTAATGTAGCAAACAAGTAATGGAAGCTTATAGCTTCTCAGTTAGCATTGTGCAAACTGCTTGCCTAAGTGATCATCACTGTCCTCAAACCATGTCAAGTTGTCATTTCAAACAGACTTAACTCAAATCAAACTTTTCAATTTAGTCAAGTATTATCCTAACTCTCATTTTTAGTTGTTCATCTCAGTTACGTAAACAATATAGAAAGTATGGCTTTTACTCAATTTCCCCACTAGCTGGGACTTGTTTAGACTTTCTTAACAACAAATAAAAGCTTGGAGAATGAACAACGAGTATTCTTGTTATATTGACACATTAAGTAGGATAACTGAGACCAGACCACTTAAAACAAGAAGCCCAAACTCTTCAATTTTGCATGAATTGTAAACTACAGTATTTTATGATCATGAGGACAAACAGACCCAGATCAATGTTTAACAAGGCAAGGCTGAAAGCCAACAATAAGCCTACACCATAAACTAACAGTCCAGAACAAAGCACTGTGGCTTGCCACAGTCTGTTATTCAAATGCATAAATGAGCTCAAAAGAGTGCTGCCATAGTAAAATACTTGGGGCACAACAGTAGACATGCTAAGACTTTAGCAGTTTCTCATAAGTCTTCACTGCCACCAACTAGCTGCTGTTCATTTCTTTATATATTAATTTTACTGTAATTTTATCACCCTCCACACATCAGACCTGCACAACACCAGCTCATGACACCTGCAGACGTTCACTGAAGTTTCTATTGTAGGGTGCATTCACAATGAAGACTGTAGCTGGTGGAGGACTTATGGTGCCTGGAAAACCCAATGCAGTTTAACATCAGTAATACAACAGAACTGGTGACTCTACATTCAGAAAAAGGATGTGAAGATGGTTTAGTTCACTTAATATCAGACTGGACTGCCCAGATAACAGCACACGCTGTACAGGAAAAGCCAGAGCAGTTTCTTCTTTCTACAGAGACTCTGGTTTTTCGATGTGTGCAGCAGGTTACTGAGGTTGTAGCATTCTTTTTTCTTCAGTGGTCTGCTGGTGGAGCAACACCTGGGGGTAGTGGACCATAGGGAAGAGGATCGTAGCAAAATTAGGACATTTTGAACAGTTCTGTCCATCTCTTCTACTGCATGATATGCAGGATCATGTTCAACAGCTCATTCCACCAACGTATTAGGAGCTGCTAGTGGGGATCTTTTCTGGTGACTGCTGTCTGCTGTTGGGCTCCACAGTCCACAGTAGTACATGCTACTTTACCCCAGCTGTTAAGAACAAACTACCAGGCAAACTTTTTCTAAAAGAAAGAATCCATATACCCCGCAAACTGAATACTTTGCATACATCAAGGTGCAAAATACAGGGGGTCCTGGGGGTCAGGGACCCATAAGTAATCTTTTGGACCCCCTGAATGTCTCAGAAACAAAATTCTTTACAGTTTCCTGCAGCTTATTTATGAATCTAAAAACTTGCCCAATTCTGTAAGAGACTGGTGGAAAGAGTGAATTGTTACTCGTTTCTCTAACCAAGGACACTAGAGGAGATGTGTAAGATCTCAATTAATGTGTGGAAGAGCCCATTACCAAACCAGAAAAGAGCCTGTACAAAAGAAGAATTGTTGAGCCAAACAATTTTGTGCCATTGAAGCTATAGCACCAATGCCACTATAGCAAGTAATGTAGGATGTTAGCCAAAGCTGGAGTAGCCAGCCAGCATGGGACCCCCAAATACCAAGGAGTATTTCGCATACTGGTATACCTATTAAATGTTTTGCATACCCATATCCTCACACTACTAAATATTCAGCTGATGTTCCATCCAATTATTACAATTAGACTAGTGCTTTTATTAATAAAGTAAAAACAGTAAATTACCAGCAACTGGTTTTACTTTACGTCTAATATTTAAATATTCAATATTTAATAGAACTGCAACACTATTCACAGTATTTTTTACTTTTAACCCTAAAACCTGTGCCTTTATGTGGGTCCACACTTCTACTCTTCATTCCCATAACTACATAACAGATGTAGCATATTTAAGATATCACTGTCCAAAAAAATAATAAGATCAAATAAATTAATAAAATAACAAATCTCCAAAGGATAAGGCACAAGTGTTCTTAACATTTAATGTAAGTGTAAAGAGATTTTATTCCAAGTGATTTTGGAGCATTTCTATTGGTCATCAAAATGAAATTTTCACACAATGTAACGGGACGGCTGCCATGTTCAAATGGTATAGAAAAGTAAAAAAGAAAAAAAAAAAGAAATGGAGATACATATTTTTCTTTGGACAGAACCAATATATAACATATTAGTTACACAGTAGTGATCAGACGATAGCAGTAATTACTGCATAATAAGTCTTTAGATACTGTGACTCTCACAGTGATGCTTTTTATTTACTCCTTATGCCAAACCATTCTTGCAGTGGTGACCATAATCAGTCTGTAGTGGCTGCTTTGTCCTGCCCAGTCGATCACAAATTAGTGACGTGTGGAAGAACCAATCAAAACGCTCCAACAAAATGTCCTTCCGTGGCCACGTCGGGAGAGCGTAGATCACTGAGGTCCAACAACTGGCGGAGGACTGAGCTTCGTGTCTGCCTTCACAAGTAATTTTAAACCGTGCAGTAGACGTAAACAATAAATCACAAGCATCCTTATACGTTCCTGAAAAGGTTCTCTCTCTTCTCTTTTCAACTCATTTCACGTTACTGGAGACAACTTCGTTTCATATATGAACACAAAACAGACGTTTTGACAGACGTTAGCTTTTTCGCGTTTGGTTCATGTCCATTTAATACGCTGCATAATAGCCTAAGAAATACATGTATCCCAGTGCACGTGTAGCCTGGGTGTACCTAAATGCTCTAAGCTGGTGTCGTATGTACGGCCTCGGTCCACCCCTTCATTCACATCTGCCCTCCCCCTCTCCACACTGTTAACGGGACTGTAATGCTGCCTGTGTTTGGTTGCTAACAGCATTCACCCTGAGTGAAGGGTCAGGATCAGGACCAGGACCAGGATCTCTCCCGAGAGCACCAGAAGGAACAGAACTGAGGTAAAGTTTCAGCTCCAACAGTTACTGTTTGTTTCACAGAGGACGCGATGTAGGCTGTCACATAATGTTGTTATCTGCAGCTGAAGATGGGAAACGTTTGGGTAACGTTAAGTCCTCCCTCTCACAGCCCCAGTCTGCCGAAATTTCCAGACTAAAAGCGAACAATATTCCGGATTATTCTCTCTACTTTTATTGTGGAGGAGATAAACAGACACAGAACTAACGTTGCTGTCTTCCGCTTCTCTGCCGCGAGCTGTAGTTATGTCCGCTATTCCTTGCACAGCTACTAAGAGCTGCTAACCCAGACTAAAGTCACATGACAGACTTCTGAACAGCGCCTTTAGCCACATTTAGTGGCTAATTGAAGAAAGCTGGAGGATTTAGACAGGCTGACAGTTCAGTGCTGCTCCCTAAACTCCGCCTGTGAAGCTCTGCAGCTCTCACTTCTTGGCTGACTATCGTGCTCAGTTGCGACACGTTTGGCTTTTGCCCATAATATGACTCTGATCTGACATTTGTTTCACCATTTCTAGCCTTAAACAGCAGTTTCCCCATCACCCTTTGGCTCAGCCAGGCTTAGCAGATCCATGCTGTTTTTATTCTTATGCTTACTGACTGGCTACATAAGCATTTCCCAGACTCTCATTGGCCAAGTGTCACCTTTCTCAACCTTCTGACTAGAGTGAGGCACAAATAATATTTGGACACAGTATAACCATTTAACCATTGGTGAACTTAAATGAAGTTCTTTAGATGACTATATAAATTATATTTCCAAGAGAAACACTGATGGGAAGCGCTTTGCATGGGGAAGAATTCCATCTAGAATTCATGCACTAAGGTTTCTGTACAGCACAGAGGAGGAACCGTGTGTTTTTCTTATACCATTGTTGGTGAGCTTTTGTTCATTGATGGGATCATGAACTCAGAAGCGTATAAAGGCTTTTCAGATGCACACCTGCAGATGTCTGCAAAGAAACTGCTCAAATGATAGCAGTCTGAAACAAACCAGCCGTCTTTTGAAAGCATACTGTGCCAATTTGAAAATTCCCAGTCTTGGGATGGTCTGATCGAAACAAACGCAACTTGGTTTGACATTTTGTTTCATGTTTTTAGAATGGCACAAATGTCCAAATATGTTTTGGAACCAGTGTAATAAACTGTGAAGTATTGATTTATCTTCTCCGTGTATCAAAAGAATGTAATCAGCTCAGACGTGACAGATGTAGAAGTGCAGTGAAGTAAACAACCTCTTTCACAGGATGTCTCGAGAGCAGAAGGCCGTGGAACGCGCCAGGAAGGCATTTGCAACTGGCCGCACCAAATCGCTGGAGTACCGCATCAATCAGCTGAAGAATCTGCAGCGCCTCATCGAGGAGAGGCAGAAGGAAATCGCAGACGCTCTCAAAAAGGACCTCAGTAGGGTGGGAAGCTCCTGAATGTTGTTTACAAGAGTATAACTAAGAAAAAGTGCAGAGAATTATTTTTTTTTAATTGTGCACAGTATTAGTTCATTGTATAAGATTCTCATATGGCTTTGTGTTGATGTTCACTATGGGTGTCTCTGTTGACAGAGTGAGGTTGGCACCTGCCTATATGAAACTGTGGGTCTGGAGGGAGAGATCCAACTGGTCATAAGGAATCTGGCGAAGTGGGCTGCCCCTCGGCCAGCAGCTAAAAACCTGTTGACCCTTTCGGATCAGTTGTACATTCAGCCACAGCCTCTGGGAGTGGTCCTCATTATCGGAGCCTGGAACTACCCCTGGGCTGTCACCATCCAGCCCCTGGTTGGAGCCATTGCGGCAGGTGCACTATTTTCTTATGACAGTGCTAGTTTTGCATAGTGTATGAACCTGACAAGATGCTAGGGACAGCCAGGCATGAGAAAAACAGGCCTGAAAAGTACAGAGCTCTCTAAAATACCAAATACACTGTGTATCTTTAACAATGATTGGATTCTGGGATGTGTAATTGGTACTCCCAAGCAGGACTGTGAGTGTTTTCATTCCTGCTTTGTCTGCTGTCTCTATTAGAATGCCATTTATTAGTGTCCACCCTTTGCATGCACGAACTATTTCACCGTGCCAGCATTTGTGTGAAACATATGTTTATCGCAATATTTACTGTGTTAACTAACTCTCACTTTCCTAATATCCTTTGAAAAAAACAGATAATTACTCTCAAATCCAACATTTTAACTTCTTTGACAAGAAGCTTGACCCATGTCTCCTGTATGCACCATTTTTTGCAGCAATCAGTTGTAATTAAGTAATACAAAAGACTACTGCAGCATTTCTGCTGTAAGTTTACATCTGTTCTTTGCAATGTGGAGCTAACTATCAATCTAGTAATAGAAATGGTGTGATTAGAGATAATTAAAGTGGAATTCCACTGATTTTTCAGTCCTTCTGCTTAAATAAATCATTAAGATGTAAACAATGTCATTTAGAATGGTTTGACGTGAAATGCTCTCTTCTAGAAAAAGTCAGAATTGTTCACAGTGGTGGTGATAGGAACCATATATCCAAAGCAGTTAATGCCTCTAAAAGCTATACCACATAACGTTATTACATAAAATAGTTGTTAATAATTGTCTTGACGTTGTTTTACCATAGTTTTGATAAGACTTAAGACTAAATAGATTTATTTTAAATGCATTAATGGTGGAAGGGTACATGCAGGGCATTGTAAGGCAAATAGGTTTACCACTGTTTTACCAATATCAACATTACATATGGAAACTTCGAAAACTTTGAAAACACATTCATGAACCTGTTTAAAGACTAGTCTGCATTACTTTGACCAGAATTATTTATGTTTGTTGGATTATGCAAACATCTTCATTCATGCAAACATACGAAGAACGTCTGACGATTCATCAGGATGCTTACAGCGCACAATAAAACATTCAGTGATGGGTCAGAGAGCTCATTTGCATGTATGGTGTTGTGAAGACTAATGATGCAATATTGATTAAAGGGGAATTCCACCAATTTTTCAAAATTTATGCATAGATTAGTCGCTAGGATGCAAACAAGGCTATTCAGAATGTAAAATTATTAATTGTAGAGAAACTTAGCGACTCACAATTCTTTACAGTGGTTCTAATGGGAACCAGAGGTCTCAATTTCTACAACATGAATATAGCCATTTTATTTACTATCCAAAATGACCAGTAAACCTGCATGAGTCTTATATGTAATGTTGATAATTGTAAAATAATGATAAATCTGAACTGATGTATTTAGAAAATAGATTAAGGCTAAATGTTTATCTCTAAACTGTCAAAAAATCTCAGGCACTAACCAACAGAGTTTCATTTAACAGCTTTCTGTGAGGTTGTTTTTAGAGGGACTAAAGGAAAAGGAACAGTCTATTGTGTAGTCCCTTACACAGAGTAGTAAGTAGCTTAGCAAATACATGTTGTTCGTATGCAAATAGTCTTTACTGGTAGGCATAGTGAAATGAGAAGTAGGGTTTGCCATAACCCCATAATTACTGATGACAATTATTATCAGCCCAAGCTTAAAAGAGACTAGAGAGAGGTAAACATGATATTCCAAGTCATAATACACTGAGAAACCAAAGTAAATTGATTTAGAAGTTTTCTTGATTCTGTGTGGTGTTGCACTTTGTCCCAGACCTGCATGAAAGCTGTGCAAATAGATCATAGTACACTTCAGATTCCCTCCCCATAACTGTTATCACAAACTTTGCTTAGTAATCTCTGTATGTGTGCTAAGGTGCACAGTGATATAGTCTTCAAGCCTTTTCAGCTTATCTTTCTGTATATCTGAGATTAATCTAAGATGAGCTTTTACTGACCAGCCTACATCTTCTACATTATTCATGGTTGTTAAATGGCCCTAAAAGAATCAGCACTTCATGAGTTAAGTGGCACCCCAGGGGTTTTAGTGCCTTACATTAGCATCTGTAAGCTGGACATGCTTTGCCTTTTGTGGTTTGAGATTCTAATGCATAAGCATTTTGCCTTGTCACTTGTGAACTCTTGTACTGTGACACAATCAGTGCCTAAAAAAAGTGCCTTTTCTAAGTGAGAGGTCAAGCGCACCATTGATGGTGTTCATATCAGTGAGCATTCCTTACCTCTGTAATTATCCTATCAAGTAGTTCAAAGGCAACTCAGTACTCTATGGCACTAAGGTTTTAGTACAAACCTTAGACAGCTTTAAAGCAAGAGTTCACCTAAAAATCAAATGTGCACTGCTTTCCCTCTTACCCTGAATGTGGTTAATCAAATAAGACATGTTTGACATCTGATATTTGTTTCTTCAGTTTTGGAGCTATGAGGCTTATGTAGCTAACACGTATTGGAAGTCTTGTGGGGCCAGAAGTGATCTGGTAATGAGAAAATGCACCTCCAAATTCCACTAGTCTGTACTTTTAATATCCGCGGTACAATCTAATAATGCAAGCAAAATAAGCTAGTTAGCGAATGGCTAGCTAACAGTTTTCCATTGAAAATGGTGTTAATTTAACCACATGTCCAAATATGTTAATTTCACACAAAACACACATCTACTGTACATGTGGAAGTATAATACATGTGGGAGCCTTTTTATAACCATTTCATGTATTAACTTTTGGTGAGAGCTTTTGGAGGCATTAAATTCTTTAGACATCTTTTTCCTACATCTAATGTTTTCTGTAGAATTGTGCGTCTCACAGCAAACTACTCTGAAAGACTTCGTTTACAGAGCTTAACCACTTAATTATGCAGAAAGTTTGAAAAATTTGTCGAATTCCCCTTTAATTGGAGTTTTTGGCTGGAATTTGTCAGTTATGTTACATCCGGTGGCAAATGACATCCGTCATAAACACTGTCATCCCAATTTTGAGCTCCGCTTTCATGAAGCATTGGATTGGTTTAAATATTTCACACTCAGTTTTGTTACATGTTTACATTTATTGTTTTTAATTTTTTGTTTTAATTTTTTTCACAGGCAATGCTGCTGTTATTAAACCTTCTGAGGTGTCTGTTCACACTTCAAAAGTGATGGAGGAGCTCCTGCCATTGTACATCGACAAGGTTAGTTATTTATCACTGGAGAAGTGTTACTCTATTTTGTGAAAAACTACAGGTTGAACCATTTGGAATTCTTTATCTTGTCACAAAAACAAACCCAATTTTGGTGTTGGAACCTTTTATTTGTAGCTCAAAAGATTAAGAGTCAATCCAGCAGAGAAACTCCTTTTGGCATTTGATTGCCGTTTGTCATGGTTATCCAGACTGGCCTAAGGAACTCCAAGAAGCAAAAAGCTTAAAAATATGGCCAAAACAAAAGTTGCTGGAGCTACCACTAATAGTTATCTTCAACTGGGGTAAGTTGCCAGTGTCAGTGTAAAGTACTGGGCGTATGTTTGATTCTGATGGTATTTATTTCAGGAGATGTACCCTGTTGTGACTGGTGGAGTTTCAGAGACTCAGGAGCTCCTGAAGCAACGTTTTGATCACATCTTCTACACTGGCAACTGTGCGGTGGGCAAGTTGATCATGGAGGCAGCCTCTAAATACTTAACCCCTGTTACTCTGGAGCTGGGTGGAAAGAGCCCTTGTTACATCGATAAAAACTGTGATCTTACCATTGCCTGCCGGTAAGTCCCTTCAGACCAGAAGGATCAAATGATCAGATCTAAGACTTTCCAAGCTTCAGTTATTTGTAAATGACTAGGGGTGTAACAGTGCATCATGACACTGTGGCAGTGTGCATCGTGAAGGTGTAATGAGACATTGTGGAGAATGAACATCCTACTAATTATCCCATTAAATGCAGTTGTATTGTTTCAGCAACAAAGTTTGCAAACGATCAGCACCACTCCAGCACTCCTCCTGCCTCCCAGCTGTAGCACCACAACAACATGATTACAGTCATATGCAAAAATATGAACGCCTGGGTCAAATTGGATGTTTTGAGGATTTTGTAAGTAAAAATATGTACTTGTCCCCTGCAGGGAATAAACCTAAATATGGTATTTTTCTGCAAATGTAGTGGAAAATTTCTGTTTATTGCCCATCCCCATGACATAATTTGACCAGGGGTGCCCAGACTTTTGCATATGACTTTACTTTTAGTCATTTGACATTGACAAGTGGTTATTGTAATACATTTACAGCAGAATTATGACTTTTTTGTTAATTATGAATTTTGCAGTTTTATATAAATACAACATCCTTTGTAAGTTGTATAATTTGTAATTTAAATAGAAATACTTCAAAAATGAGTTTTAGATAAAGTGGACATTTCTCTTACACTGCAGCCGTATTGCTTGGGGAAAGTACTCAAACTGTGGTCAGACTTGCATCGCCCCAGACTACATCCTCTGCGACCCCAGCATCCAAGACAGAGTTATTGAAGAGATCAGGAAATGTGTGAAGGTAATGTTGCCTTCAACTCCACAGCAGTGCATTGTGTCTCTTGACTTGTCAGCTGATTGAAGTATTGAAATGATGTAAGTGAACATCTTCCTCATTTTGGTGGGTTAATTTTCTTCCAGGAATTCTACACTGATGACCCCATAAGCTGCCCAGACTATGGACGCATCATCAACCAGCGCCACTTCAAAAGAGTGATGGCACTGGTGGAAGACAGCACTGTGGCTGTAGGAGGAGAAAATGATGAGTCCCAGTGCTACATTGGTAAGTGCATTTAGCTCTAATGCTAGCACATTTGTAGACTTAGGCTTTTGTATCAATATGTTTAACCCAAAGCCAAAAGTTCTTACTGTTGTTTTGCTGTACCATTATAATGTAATTACATATGTAATGACGTAGTTATGCAATAATTACATTTACATTTATTCTGCATTCATGTTCAAGTTGGCAACTTCTTCTGTTTTGTTTTGATGTCAAGCAGTGACAAAAAATGTAATTATAAATAGAAATTATGTATTTCTATTTATGATTTATATAATGTATATAATTTATTTATTATAATTTATTTATAATAATTAGATTCTTCACAGAATTTCTCTTTTCTCTTTTCCTGTGTAACTTTACAGGAGAAGGAAAAAAATTATTAACGTTTAAAGGAAATTAATGTAACAAGATTTTTTTCCGAGTAACTTTTATTGATCTATTCATGATGAAATTGTAACAAAATGTAAAGGTGTAAGTAAGTATTTTCAAATTATACAAAAAAAAAGAAAAACAACAAAAATGGAGATACAATTTTTTTATGACAGTGACACTTTAATGACAGTGTCTGTTACTGCCAGAGATAACTGGGACTTCTAAGGTTTAATGATATTAATTAGTCTTACTAGAAAGCACGGCAAATGTAAATAAATGTGTTGTAATGGTAGAAATACTCAGTTTTAGTTTGAAGTGTACTATATTAATTATACTTGTGTCAAATGTACACTGTCAGCGCTAACTGAACTCTGCTGATTGTGCTGTGTTTTTGGCCACACAGCCCCCACAGTCCTCAGGGATGTGCAGCCAGAAGCGAAAGTGATGCAAGAGGAGATCTTTGGGCCTCTGCTGCCCATCCTCAGTGTCAGCAGTGTGGACGAAGCCATCAAATTCATCAATGAAAGAGAGAAACCCCTAGCCCTCTACATCTTCACCTCAGACAACAAGGTGAAATCTTCCTTCACCATCAAATAAAACACTCAAGACTAACACATGGGCAAAGATTTTGGAAATAATAATATTTCCATTGAATATCCTAGTAGAAGATCCCTGGATTTAGGGCCATGATTCCCTTTTAAATTTCATAGAATGTACTACAAATACAGTGAACTCTTAGAAGTCAAGCATTGTTAGTGTCATTTTGCCATGCTATTCAAATGTGATCATGTAATTACAAGTCAGAAGTGTGGTATAATTTGAAAGCTTAGAATTTGCATTTTCAACAGAATTCTGAGAAATAATTTATCACTTAAATTCCCAGGCGTATTACATCCTAGGGCTTATAGTTCAGTAATTACATGAAAAAAAATTTCTTGAGTTTTATAAGTGAGGAATGAAAGCCTGGTAGTTTGAGATGTTCATGTAGATTACACTTTTAGAACTTTTATTAATGCCGTTGATAACTGTGACTTAAGGTTTCAAAGCTTAAACGCTCCACTTAAATGCCTTAACAAAATGACTTTACAATTCCTAATTGTGGCTTTATATTACTGTTTAAGATAGGTGGATCTGTCTGAGGTAGTCATTTCTTTGTTCCTTTCTTGGTTTAGCTGATCCAGCGTATGATCTCAGAGACTTCCAGTGGTGGAGTATTGGCCAATGACTGCTTGGTTCACTACTCAGTCAGCTCTCTGCCTTTTGGTGGTGTTGGTGAGTAAAAGCCCCATAACCTTCAATCACTGACAGTTAAACCACTCCTCAGTGCAAATTATCCACTTTATGTAACTCTAACTACTAAACATACTTCATGGCCATACTTTATAAACATTTACTACACATAAAAAGTAAGCGTGATTCGGCCTGTTGTCAGAGAATTTAAGTTAATAACATGAGCTGTGTTTTTATGTCAACATTATTTTTCCGTCATGTCGTTCCTGCTGGTGCTTAGCATTAAAACATATGTTTGTGGCTCCCCCTGCAGGCAACAGTGGGATGGGCAGCTACCATGGAAAGTTCAGCTTTGACCATCTGAGTCACATGAAGGGCTGCCTAATCAAGCAACTGAAAATGGAGGGGGCAAACCAGATGCGCTACGCCCCACACACGGCCAAGAAGTTAAGCTGGGCTCGCTTCTTTGTGCTCAAAGAGGCGCAGCTGAGCAAGCTGGGCCGTTTGGCTCTACTGGCTATGCTGGCTGTCGTCGCTGCAGTTATAATACAGGTAAAAAAATTTACCTACTAGGAGAAAATCACTGACCTCAGAACAAGTGGTTCTGTAGAAAATGCATCATAAAATCTACACAATTTGATGATTCAGTTACAAAAAAATACTTTTTTGCCATTTATACAGTAATGGAACAAGACAATAAAAACAATTAACTATTTTTTATGTTGGCAAAAATACCTGCATTTTTCATATTATTATAACCAGTTATAATCAATTCTAGCATCCCAAAATCAATTATAATTAGTTCTAACATTCCAAAAGAACCTATTATCAGTTCTAACGTTACAAAATCAATTCTGATCAATTCTGACATTCCACAAATGAACTATAATCAGTTCTTACATTGCAAAATCATATATGATCAGTTCTAACAATCCCAAATAAATTTTAATTAATTCCAACATTCCAAAATCAATACAGACAAATTGACAAAATGATAAACATATTGTAATGCCGTTGCAATGATTTCATGATTTTATGCACCATTGCAACTTCATTGGATGTTATGACTGCTTTGTAAAGACTTTATGATCTTCTTAAATGTAATGTAGATGTAAACAAAAGTATTAAGGCTTATAGATATGTGATGACTGAAATACTGGTCTCTTCTTTTCAGAGATACTTTGCTGACTAAGGGAAGTCACAGTTTACACCAGAGTTTGAGGAAAACAGGATTTTGGTCACGTAGTGGTCTGTATCCCTGCTTAAGCGCTGCTCCACTCCCCTGCCTTAATCTGAAAGGGCCTTGAACCCAGCCACTGTAAATCACTTCTCATAACAATGCTGCATCTAATGAAGGCTAAATTAGCTTCATGCTAATTGATAACAGTTTCCTAATGTGACATTTGTGTTATAGCGGTTTTACTCTGTGATTAATTTGTTTATATCTGTTAGCTCTGGCTGAAGTACATTTATTTTTCCTGTTTTCAAAAAGAATTTTTTAGAATAATTTTTCAATGAAGGAAGAGAAACATTTCACAGTGATTTAGTGCTGTTGCACTGTAGCATCATACCATCTATCTCAGTATATCTCACTGTATCTCACTTTAGTAATGTTTATAACAACACTTTTTAGTTAAAAATGCACATTTCAAGAAGGTTTTTTTGAGAGTTTACTCATAAAATGATCAGAAAAACACTGATATTCTGCTGCTTGCAGGGCAGGAAGATAATTGAAGAATGGGTTCGGTCTACTTTATATCAATTATGTGCTGATTATTAGTTGAAAATGTTCTATAAGTTGAAATATTGAAAGACTGCAAATACATAACTTCATAGCAGAGATGAGTCATTCCAAAAGCAGATGGTGAAAGCACTTGCACATTTTGGTGTTTCTCCCTGATGACTAAATGAGTTTCTCAGCTAATTATAAGCCTTTGGTAAGATTTAAGTGTGTCTTTAAGTGACTATTGGTTATATTAATATGGATCACTATTGGTTATATTAATATGGATCGGTATTGGTTATATGAATATGAATTGGTATTGGCTATATTAATATGGATCACTATTGGCTATATTAATATGGATCGGTATTGGTTATATGAATATGAATCAGTATTGGCTATATTAATATGGATCACTATTGGTTATATTAATATGGATCGGTATTGGTTATATGAATATGAATCAGTATTGGCTATATTAATATGGATCACTATTGGCTATATTAATATGGATCAGTATTGGCTATATTAATATGGATCACTATTGGTTATATTAATATGGATCACTATTGGTTATACTAATATGGATCGGTATTGGCTATATTAATATGGATCGGTATTGGTTATATGAATATGAATTGGTATTGGCTATATTAATATGGATCACTATTGGTTATATTAATATGGATCGGTATTGGTTATATTAATATGGATCGGTATTGGCTATATTAATATGGATCGGTATTGGTTATATGAATATGAATTGGTATTGGCTATATTAATATGGATCGGTATTGGTTATATGAATATGAATCAGTATTGGCTATATTAATATGGATCACTATTGGCTATATTAATATGGATCAGTATTGGCTATATTAATATGGATCACTATTGGTTATATTAATATGGATCACTATTGGTTATATTAATATGGATCGGTATTGGCTATATAATAATATGGATCGGTGTTGGTTATATGAATATGAATTGGTATTGGCTATATTAATATGGATCACTATTGGTTATATTAATATGGATCGGTATTGGCTATATTAATATGGATCGGTATTGGTTATATGAATATGAATCAGTATTGGCTATATTAATATGGATCACTATTGGCTATATTAATATGGATCACTATTGGTTATATTAATATGGATCAGTATTGGTTATATTAATATGGATCGGTATTGGCTATATTAATATGGATCACTATTGGCTATATTAATATGGATCGGTATTGGCTATATTAATATGGATCACTATTGGTTATATAATATGGATCACTATTGGTTATATTAATATGGATCGGTATTGGCTATATTAATATGGATCACTATTGGTTATATTAATATGGATCACTATTGGTTATATTAATATGGATCACTATTGGTTATATTAATATGGATCGGTATTGGCTATATTAATATGGATCACTATTGGTTATATTAATATGGATCACTATTGGTTATATTAATATGGATCGGTATTGGCTATATTAATATGGATCAGTATTGGCTATATTAATATGGATCACTATTGGTTATATTAATATGAATCAGTATTGGCCATATTAATGTGGATCAGTATTGGCCATTTTAAAATGGATCACGATTGGCTGTTATTGTGGATCACTATTGGCTATATTAAACCAGATCCGATACCACTCCTTTGTTAAAGCTATTTTACGCCATTGCGCACTGTTTACACTACTTTTGTAGAAGTGATATAAACTGACTTTATCCACATATGACAGTGAGGCATTTGAAGTTTGAAATTTGAAGTGTGTGGCTATTACACAGCATAGATATTAGAGCAACTTGACATGTGAAGGACCTTTTACTGCAGCATTGCAAAGTGGTGATCTAGCATATCCTCCCTAATGCATATGAAATGTGCACTGTTCAGCTGTATTATATACAAAAATACAAATAGCAGATCAAACTCTATCAACAAATGCTTAATATTAAAAGACTCAGATAGAGGCAGAAGAACTGTATTGGGACATCCCTAGTAAACTCTATAAAGTAGAGTGCAGATGTAATTCTTATTGTTTTGGATTGCTGCTTACTGATGTAGCAGACTTATTAAGCATTACATTCACAATATTGATTTCTGAGAGCACAGCAAGATGTCCTAGAAATGCATTCCCCTACTGTTTCAGAGTATTTGAAGATTGTACATCTCCTTGTTCTTACATTTCAATTTTTATTAACTCTAAAAAGTGAATTTTATGAAGGCATTTTTATCTGTAAAATAAACACATTTTTAAAGAGATGAGTTTTTTTTTGACGCGTTTCTGGTTTTGTGTTTAATTGTGTAGGTAATATCATGGTTTAGTTAAGCAGCGTTTTTTTCTGTTAGATCTTACAGAATTGTGTTGAATTTTGCTCTGTGTATTCATTCTAAAAAGCATTCTTTTGGTGAAATTTCAGCACCACTAATACAACCAATATGTTATTATGGTGAGTGATGCTTTATTCTTCTGTTTAACCCCTAGATTTCTTAGATGTATTCTGTTCTGAGGCTTATTATTTTAAGGAAAACAATTCCAACTGACTGGGTTGTTGTTGAGTTATAGGAGTGAGGAGTGGAAGCCTGACCATTTCAGCAATAAAAGAAAATATGCACTAAATGTTATGAACATTTTACTGTTATATGCAATATTCAGTCTTTCCACTTTAGCTGAACTTCTATGCAAAAATTTGACAAAATAAGTTAATAATCCTCTGCAGAGAACACACTTCTGCACATTTGAATACACAATTACTGTTTATTTGCTGAATTTAACATATTGTGAAAAAAACAAAACACGAAATGTGGCCTGTGCAAAAGTTATGGTGCATTTTATATTTTATTTTTTTTCCAATATGTTAAACTCAGGAAATAAATAGACGTTCTGCAGAAAAATGGCACATTTAGGTTCTCTGTAGAGAACTTGAGTATCAACAAAACATGTAATTTGACCAGGGATGTTCAAACTGTTGAGGTATCTTCCAAAGAACTGTCACTAACCTTTTCAACCATGGCGCACAGTGATGGGCCATTTGAATGATGCTTGCTGTGGGTGTATTATGGTACTGCACCATGCAAACTTGTTTTTCAACAAAGTCAATAAGTCCTTGGTTTGTTTACTGTTGCTTTGGATTTCCCCTCTTCTCTCATGCTATAGAACTCTTCTTTAAAAAAGACCCTGCAGGAATTTCAGGAGGATTGACAAATGAATCATATTGTAAATTTGGATAATGTAATAGTTTAGTATGGGATACTACACAAGTCCTATACATTAGTACAAGACAGTACTGCAGGAATACTCTAGGAGGCAAAAACAATATTATACAGCACTATAGATACCTCATGATAGTCTGTAGACTTTCTGGAAGTAACTGTCTGGATAAAAAAGTTTTTTTCTGTGCATGTGCTATTCATAGCACCATGTCTTTTTCTTGTGTCATAAGTGGAGCACAGCACGCTGAGCCTGAGGTCAAACCACATATTCAAGGGAGGAATTAGTAAGTAGAACTGGTCCTGCAAGCTCAGACTCGTTTCGATGAAACCGGTAATCAAAGATGCGCAGCCGTAGTACGCCAAGAGTCCATATTTATGCACACTGGGTAAACTCTGAGTAAGTCAAGTACTTTCAGTCAATAAACTCAATCAACATTAGTCACTGCTTTCAAAGCAGTATCTTCCCTGTGGAAGGCTATTCTTTTGTTTTTATGAGTAATAAAAAGCTACATGTGTATCTGCATTGGCAGAAGCAAAAAGATATATATTTAGCAAGTAGGATAGTTGTAAAGTAGCTATCAATAGAGCTAAATTATGATTCTCTCATTCTCTCTCAGCCATATGTTTGGGCATATTGTATAAATAAAATATTGTATGAACTTTTATTATGCCACACATTTCCATTTAGTCAAATGGAGCTGAGTCACATATACCTACACATAAAGTGCAACTTCTTTAATGTCATTTATGGAAGTTAAACTGATTAAATGGTTCATTTTTCTGAATAAAGATTCCTCTCAACAGCTCCATATTAACCTATTAATGTCCAACAACTATGTTTAATATGATTCAGAAAACTACCACAGAACATGATCGGCTCAAACTGATGGTGTTTTGTGTAGTTATACACTGTATGTCCATACATCTGTAGACACTTGTTCATCCATAGTTTCTTCAGAAATCAAAGGTATTAAGAGAAAATTTGGCCTGCTTTTGCTGCAGTAACAGCCTCTTCATCTGAGAAGGCTTTACATGTTGGAACATTACTGTGAGGATCTGATTGCTTGCAAGAGCATTAGTGAGGTCAGCTACTGATGTTGGATGATTAGTTCTGGATCACAAATGCCACTCCAGCTTATCCCAAATGTATTGGATGGAGATCCATCACTCAAGAGAACTGAGAGTAGAGAGCTGAGGGGCTATATACCTCTCTAGCCAAGGCTTGGCATTGGGTATGGTGACCTAAGGTATGGCAGACATGCAGCTGCACCAGAGCATCCCATTCTGTTCACACCTCTTGAGATTAACAAGATGTGAAAGCCTGTGTCAGCAGCTGAATTCACTAATTAGAAGGGTCATCTGGACATTTTTGGACCTGTGGTGTTCCTTGGATGAACATCTAATAGTACCCAGTTGAACATGTTAGATGACGTGTTATTTTCATAGTTTTATTCAAAATCAAATCTCGATCTGGATCTGACAGTTCTTGGTCCCATGTGACCAAAAGACTACATTTAATATGATAAATTAAGCGTTAAGAGAAGGAATGGACCAAAAACCTACGGACATTAATGGCTTAAGGTCAATTAATCATTACCTACATTCTTAAAAAATATGGTTCTTCAAGGGTTCTTTAGTAAAATTAATGGTTCTATTTGGAACTATGAGTTCTACATAGAACCATTTCATGCTTAAATGGTTCTTTGCATGGTGTAATCGTTCTTCAGATTTTTGCAAATCTGAAAAAAAGGGTTCTGCTGCTGTTGTGATGTCAAACTTGTAACAATAGAAGAACCCTTTTTGGTGCTATAGAGAACCATCTTCTTTAAGTGTACAGTCGTGTTAATAAGTGAAGTGCTGGGTTGATGAATTTAGCCCCGCCCCCTCGTGTAGGAGGGCTGTATTGGTTTGAAGGCGGGAGTCGAGTTACAGAATCTCTCGAGGTACCTGGATTCCGGAAATGTCACACAGCAACAAAGCGTGAAGGGAGATGTAGGCTGGGCGCCGAAACGAGCGTTAGCAACTTGTTCGTTCGTTTAGCCGTTTTGTTTCCGAAGTACGAAGGTATCGCGGTCTGTAAAGGAACTCGCAGCGCTAAAGCCATCATGCCAGGCTTGGATTACAGGTTTCTGGAGCGGCTGCGGAAGCGCTTTCTGTGTCCTTTGTGTAAGAAGCCCATGAGGGAGCCTGTCCAGGTGTCCACCTGCGGCCACAGGTTCTGTGATACCTGCCTGCAGGAGTTTCTCAGGTACTACTCTTCACTCACTGACCTAAAAGTCAAACCTGTCTAAAACCTTTACTTAAGCCTTTGTCGTAGGTGGATATGGTACATAGGGAATATACCTCCTCATTTCTCTTGTTTGGTTCACCTTTTCCTTGTCATTGTGACCTTAAAGGGGAATTCCACCAGTATTTGAAAAATTCTGAATAATTCAGTCCTTAAGATGTAAACAATCATTTAGAGTGGGTTAATTTGAAGTGGTTAATTGTAGAGAAACTTACAGACTTTTTCTTACAGTGGTGGTGATAGGAACCAGGGGTCACCAGGTCTACAACACAAATCTAGACATTTTATTTACTATCCAAAACCATTAATGAACCTGCATGTATCTCCTGAGTTTTTATATGTAATGTTGATGGTAAAATTGTAATAAATCTGAAAAATTAAGTTTCTTTGGGGACCGTTTTGCCTTACAATGCCCTGCATGTACCCCTCCAACATGAATGGATTAAACAGATTAAAATACATTTTAAGCCAAAATTTTATCTTAAAATGACCATAAAACAATGTGTCCAACATCAGGCAGCATATATCTAACGACTTAATTTAATAACCTTCTGTGAAGGAGATTGCAAAGGCATTAAACTCTTTACATGTGAGTTCCTATCACCACCACTGTGAACAAATCTGACTTCTTTATCTAAAAGGGAGCATTTCACTCCAAACCACTCTGGATCTCTGAATAACTTTCTTTACATCTCAACCATTTAATTATGTAGATTTTTTGGAAAAATTGGTGGAGTTCCCCTTTAACAACATAAACTTCAGTTCCCAATAAACTTTCCCACTGTCAGTCCTGCTCAGAGAAAATATAGTTAAAACATTAATGCTAATGTCTTTCGATGAGGTAATTAGTATATCTAGTCATGTCAATAAGTGCCATTTGTGGTGGATTCATTACATTTTGTTTAACGCTCTTACATCTACAAACATTAGGTTTTAGTGTGTGATTTGGTCAAATAACAAACCAAATACAGGCATAAATTAGCCATTAACTGGTTGCTATTCAGTGTTTATTTTGGTAAGCACTGAATGTACTTGATTCAAATATGTACAAGGTTGCCATCTAAAATATATTACACCAACACAGCTGCTCAAAGTAAGTAAACTGAAAGACATTATTTACCGAATGGAGATGATGTACATATTTCAACTAAATAAATCAAATGCATCACAGCAAATGAGTGATAAAAGCAGAATGTACAGTAGGTTCTTAACCCCCACTTCCAAATTTGACCCACAAGGATCAGTTACGAGGGGACAAAGCAGCACTATAGTAAATTTGGGCTAAACAGGTCTAGCAAGATGTCAGATATTTTAAAGAGAGCACAAGAAAAGGTGTACTTTTCTTGCATTCACCTCAAAGAATAACTACCCCCTTTTACCAAGCCAACTGGATCAATACAAGGGTAGATTTTTAGAACTATGTCTATCGTTGCTGGTGTTTTTGTCACTTATGGAACAAAAGTGTAGGCTTTATTTCCTGATTCCCTGAGCTTAATTTACAAAGCCTTATCAGCAAAGCACATAGTTTAAGGACAAAATGATTTTATCATTCTAGTCGTTCAGGTTGATGATCTAGTCTTAAAACATTTTGTTTTCAGTGACTGATCTTTGCTGTAGTGTCACAAAAAGACACTGTTTTGTTTTTTTTCCGTTTAACAATGACACTCTTTGTTGAAGGTGCGCTGCAGATGTCATCGCTCTGATAGGTGACTGCCAGTTTCACTCATCTTATCAGTCAAGCACATGTTGTACACTCATTAACTGGTTGGTGCTGTAGTGAAGGATCAGTCTTGTTTGTACAGTGGTTGTTTAGTTGTGAAGTAGTATTAGTTTCACTTTCAGCGTGGATGTTTTCTGAAAAGAGAAGAATTTCTGGATTTTTGTTGAACAAAAGGCATCTTTTTTCTTCGGTTCTCCTCTTTCATACAAAGACATACAAACACTATTTGTCTGTCTCATAAAGGCATCGTTTGGAATGCTTTGCATGGTACAAGCTGCAACATGATATTTTGGTTTGGTGTCCTCCTACTGCTACTGAAAAACTCCATGACTGTACTTAACATAAGACAGGTTTGACAGACCTGCGGAATGTCTATAGAGTGGAAAACATGCGATGGAAAGATCTTTTGTGAAGAATGTTTTTCAGCCTATGTGGTTCATTTCCCTGTGTTTGGTTCTTATTTACTGCCAAAAATGTTACCCACTTGAACTATTCACTCTTAAAATAAAGGCCAAAAAGTGTTCTTTTGGTTCCTTGAACATATTGAGATATGTGGACGAACGCTTTTCAAGTTTAAAGAACCTCCACAAAGTGTAAAGGTTCTGTACCAGTTACGTTTTTTACAACCATATATTCAAGCTACAACCCATATAGGAACCTTTATTTTGACCCATGGAACACTCTCAGAAAGAACTGTACCTTATAGTGTACAAACACTGCGACTGTGGTGGTACCGTGAAGGATACACCTTCAGTGCCTTTACTAAGGGAACATCATTGTACCAAATTCCACTGTAATTATATAACTTAAGTTACATCGACTTCTTACACTCACTCAGTCGGGACAGCAGGCTTTTTATTTCATTTTTCTGCTTTGAAAGTTATGAAAATGTACATATATGCACTTTTTCCTTGGGAAAGTTAAAGTAATATACTTTTAAAACTTACTTGAAGGATACAGTTAGACCGTAAGGACCATGTTGTATCTTTGTGGGTAAATTTGCATTATTTGTACTTTGGGGACAAATGTTTATCTAGGCAGTGCCCATTTTTCTGACAATGAACCCTAGTCTTATTATTCAGTAATTAATGTTAAGACTATTCAGTAATTTCTATGTAACAACTATGAATTATTCAGATAAATTAAATCATTGACTACAATGTGGTTTATAAGTTATGTGGTTGGGTAGAGTGAGAAATTGAAGTGTAGATGCACATAAAGGCCCTCAAGAGTTTAAGGTGTTAAATGCAAAGCCTTATTATTCAGTTATTAATCCTAAAACCTATAACTACCTATAAATTATAGCCTATATATTATTCAGTAAGTACTATGAAACTAATATATATATATTATGTAGATCTTCTTAATTAGTTACTTATTTGAATCAATTGTGCGAGATGAAGGGCAGCACAAAAACGAGCATAGCATGGTGTCCCCAGGACTGACATTGGTAAATCCTGGGTTATTGTGCTGAATGTACCCACTGCTGTGAGTACCAGTAGCGTCAGCAAAATTCCGAAGTGGCTCGTGATCAGTTTTAGACAAGTTGTGCCATGAACGCCGCTACGTCAAGGCTGCTTTTAGAAGCAGATCACTACACGTCATTTCAAGGAAAAATTCTTGCACAGGGCAGGAATGTTTTCTATGACTTCCCACAGAAAATCAGAGGGTCAAAATGAAAGGAAACACAATTAGTCACATGTGTCATTCAGGGCTCAGCATTAGGGGTACTGCACATCCAGACATATGAAGAATGGCATCCTCATCAACCTAGAATACAGACATTTCCCTCATTGTTGCCTTTTAAGCATTCTGAGCATTGATTGTACTGTAAATGATAATTTGGAGATACAATAGTTTTTTATCACCTATTTTACCATTTTACATTAGTACAATATATCCACCTTAGTTTTCATGTGACCACTGTGTTTCAAGATTATGGCTAAAATATCCTGTTAGGGAGCGGAAGTGTCGTTCATCACTGTTTTAGTGAAGTCAAAAAATCTGTACTTTACACATTATACTCTCTTTGTAATTGGATATATTCTCCCTTTACTAGAGTAGGCTGGGCAGGTAGCAGAAAGCTAACTGGCTATCAGGCTAATGCTACAATAATAGCTAAAAGACATACTTCAAGTTCAAATCTTAAACCAAGAGTTACTTAAAAACCGAGACATAAAAAGTAAAGAATGTTACTTGCATGCCTGTTACGAGCTTAAAAAAATGCCTATATTTAAAGTAGAGCTGACATAAAAATCCCATATAATGCTGAGCTAACCCTGCTAGCTTGATGTTAATATAGGTAGATAGCATTGTGAATATACAATGAGCATTATAATGCTGGTTTAAAAAAGAGTACCTGACTCTCAGTGGAAACGCAATTAAATATAAGTTGTGATAAAATCACTTGATTAGCCTGAATACTTTGTGTAGGCTAAAAATGGAATTTAAAGCCTTTTGAAGCGTTTCTGTTGATAGATTGATTAAGCTACAAACCTTGGCACACAAGTATTCAAGCATCCCAACAAGAAAGGATTATTGATACTTTTATTTATTCCCTCATGTAAGGATGTTATTAGCATTCAGTGTATTGTCTGTTTACGCTTCGGACGTTTTGGATAACAGATTTGAGTGCACAGTGCAAAAGCCTTTTTTAATTTCATTCCTGTTATGAATAATTATCAATAAATTGAGAAGTGGTCCCAGCCCTAATCGTAGTAGTTTCTTAATCGATATGATATATGGTGTACAGCTATGAATCATGTATATATGCACAGTCAAATCAACTAAATCGAATTCATTACTTTTTACAAAAAGTTCAACACCTCTTAATTTGCCAGGACCACCGGCAGGTCCAAACTTCTGTTACACATTTCTGTATCTTAAAAATAACTCAGCCAGTTGAAGTTCTTGTAGTTACTGAATAATAAGCCTTAGGATGTATAATCCTGAGAAATTAAGGGGTTAAACGAAAAGCTTTAAGTATGGGGCACATGAGTGTGCACCAGCAACATGTAAGATTTAATTAGGCTGACAGATTAGCACACACTAATCAGCTTTATGTTTGTTTTTGGGGGGCTTTTATGAATCGAGGCAGATGCTCCTAGGCATCAGCTGACCCAGAAAGTGTAACAGCACAAACATATGTACACAGTAGTGAATAAAGTACAGCAAACAAGCCAATGATGTTTACTGACGCCACATTCAAATAGTAGATCCACAACAGATGCAATGTGGCTTTACCCCCTGAACCCAGGCTTATTATTCAGTAATTCATCTTTAGACTGATTATTCAGTAACTACTTTAAATGTTATGAAATTGCATGTACGTTATGGAGTTGAAGTGGGAATTGAAGTGTGAGCCACATTCTCAGAGTTTCTTTGCTCTTATAACTGTGCATTGTGTTTTCTCCAGTGAGGGAATATTCAAGTGCCCAGAAGATCAGCTGCCTCTGGACTATGCTAAAGTAAGTACCACACTATCAGCATCAGAGCCCTGCAGTGGGATTCATTAGACCTTCCACAGTTCAGCTTTTCCGTAGATCATGTTGTTTATCATCGCTGTCCAAAGAAAAACATGGATCTTCAAAATAGTAACTTTACAGGATAAGGTAAAACGATCTTAACTTATAATGTAAGTTAATGTAAAAAGGTTTTTATTACAAATGGTTTTAGAGCATTTCTTTTAGTCCATTCATCATGAAATTTTCAGCTAATTTGTTCAAATGAGAAAAATACTTAAGAGTAGTGTGAGTTTTTCTTTTAGCGTATTATTGGAATGTTCTATTCTGTTTGATGTACCAGCCATTTCATTATGACCACCTCCTTGCTTCTACACTCATTGTCCATTTTATCAGCTCCACTTACCATATAGGTGCACTTTGTTGTTCAGTTAGTACAATTACAGACTGTAGTCCATCTGTTTCTCTGAATACTTTGTTAGCCACCTTTCACCCTGTTCTTCAATGATCAGGACCACCATAAAGCAGGTACTGTTTGGGTGGTGGATCATTCTCAGCACTGCACTAACACCGACATGGAGGTGGTGTGTTAGTGTGTGTTGTGCTGGTCTGAGTGGATCAGACACAGCAGTGCTGCTGGAGTTTTTAAACAAGTGTCACTGATGAACTGAGAGCAGTCTACCAACCAAAAATATCCAGCCAAGAGTGTCCTGTGGGCACCACATCAGTGTCACTGCAGTGCTGAGTATGATCCACCACCCAAATAATACCTGTTCTGTGGTGGTCCTGTGGGGGTCCTTGCCATTGAAGAACAGGGTGAAAGTGGACTAACAAAATAAGTATATGGTAAGTGGAGCTGATAAAATAGACTAAGACTATACATAGAAGGACGCCAACTTAATGAAGTGGCTGGTTGATGTATATCGTGTGCCCTTATAAACTGAAATAATGTATGGATTGTTGTTTAGATTTTTCCGGATGTGGAGCTGGAGCAGCAGATTCTGGCTCTGCCTATTCTCTGCATCCACAGTGAGGAGGGCTGCCGCTGGGCAGCACAGAATAAACAACTTCAGGTAAAACACACATCCACAGGCACATGCATTCGAGCACTGAACACACATCCGTGTGCGAGGAATAAAGGCTCATAGTTGAATAGAATAATGAATCCAACAGAATTTTGTGACCTGGATGCATTTTTAATAGGGAAATAGAGCACTGTGCAAAGCGCTTAAACATGTCATTTAAAATTATCTTTGCTTGTAAAATTTGCTTGTCTAAATACCTAAATACAGTAAAAAGTAAAAGAGAATTATTATTATTTTTTTTAAAGTAGTGAATATTTTGAGAGCTTGGTGTTAGTTTGGTGCCAGATTTCTTCTCAGCCTCTCACGCTATAGCGTTTGTAAATTCCATCACCAGCACACCTGATTTAACATACTGAAGGATTGAGTAGATAAACCAGGCATTGGATGATAAAAGAACACATGGACATACATAAAATCACTCCGTATTGCATTAAAATTGTTTGTATTTGTGTAAAAGTGTGAGCAAATAAATGCTTATTGACTGGCACACATATAATTTTGTGCCTAAAGCTTTTGCACAGTACTGTACATTTCCCCATATTGAACACCAGTGCCTAATTTAAAAACCTGGCTCAGATTTAAACCCATCTTTACTTGGGGCAGCAGGTTATTATTACTTATCTGAGTCATCTCTAACCTTTAGAAGTCACAATTATTGCTGGCAATAACTAAAGCATGCTGTAATTCAATATAAATTATACATGCAAATTGTTTTCCTCAGGAAAAAATGCAGAATGGAAACAAAATAATATATATAATAAATATATATTATATATAATAATAAAATGTAAATTACTTAAATAAATATATAATTACATCTAAATGACATTGCTAAACAACAATAATAACTATACAATTTTAATAATTAATTGTTTACAGATGTTCAGATGGTGTTCAGGATGGTTTCAGTGTCAGGGGTCATGCTTGTATTATCCTCATTTTTAGAATACTGCCCAAGTAATACATTGGGTATTGGGTAAAGTAGTGTATTAAAGTACATTTAGCACAGAGTGATAGCAGTTCCTCTTTTTCCCTTCTTTAGGCCCACCTACAGGTATGTGCCTATAATGTGGTGCCGTGTCCTAACCGTTGCTCTGTGAAGCTGCCGCGGCGCAACCTCCCCGAGCACCTGCAGCACGACTGCTCTAAGAGGAAGCTCCGCTGTGACCACTGCTCCCAAGAGTTCACCGGCGAGGCACATGAGGTCAGCCATAACACTCTAAACAACCCTCATTTCTACTGTCTTCAATGCTAACATCTGTGGTTTGGATTTATTGTAAAAAGATGGAAGATGAATGCATGATATGGGTGATGATGTTCATGAAACCAGTTTGAGATGAGTTTTGCTTTGTAAAATGGTGCATTATCATAATGGAAGTGGCCATTATAAGATGGTGAATTGTGTTCATGAAGGGAGGAACATTGTCAGTAACAATGATTAAATAGGCTGTGGCATTCAAGCGATGATTGATTGGTATTAACAAGCCCAAAGTGTGTCAAGAAAACATTCCCCACACCATTACACCACCTCCACCAGGAGGGTAAGTCCACCGATTCATGCTGTTGGTGCCAAATTTTGACCCTACCTGAGATCTGACCCTGAGATTCATCAGACTAGGTTAAATTTTTCCAGTCTTCAACTGTCCAACCTCAGCTTTCTGTTCTTGGCTGACAGAAGTGGAACCTGACGTGGCCTTCTGCTCTTGTAGCCTATCTGCTTCAACGTTTGACATCTGCCTTCTGAGATGCTTTTCTGCTCACTGAAATTGTAGAGTGGTTGTCTGAGTTACCGTAGCCTTTCTGTCGGCTCGAACTCTAGAGACTGTTGTGTAAATCCCAGGAGGTCAGCAGATCAAAACCAGCCTATCTGGCACCAACAATCATGTCACAGTCAAAATCACTGATATCATATTTGTTCCCCATTCTGATGGAAGCTGAGAACATTACTTGAAGGTGTTGGTTCGTATCTGCATGATTTTATGCACTGCACTGCTGCCACACGATTGGCTGATTAGATAATTGTATAAATGAGCAGATGTACAGGTCTTCCTAATAAAGTGCTCAGTGAGTGTATGTCGCTACACCTCTTGCATGGATGGAATCTGTGCACACGGTGCAAACATTAACAACCTAAGATTAACATATGAGCACAAGACAAGTCTTCAGGCACTTGAATGTTGGAAAATGTAAACCACCAGCATAAGGAGGGCGAAGGCAAACACATGCTTCCTTCGAGTGATGTAAAGCGAGCCACCACATCTTTTCGAACTGCTGCTAACCATCGTATTTGGACAGCTGCATGTGGTTGGAGTACACAGTAACCTCCAATTCTGTTACGTCAGCTAACAGACACCTGCGCTGGCTACCATCGCACTGAGTGATGTAGAGAGAGGGAGGGCCAAATTGCGCTCTCTTGGAGTCCCAGCCACGGGCCCATCACAGGGCCAATGCTTAGACAGTTGCGCCACTCGGGAGCCCCAACATGTAGTACTGAATTGAATTTTGAATTTACTGTATTATTACACCCCTAATATTTATGAAAAGCTGCAGCTGTTCAAATTGCTTCTGGTTCTAATCCTGGTCATTTTATGTGAGCTGTTAAATGGTTTATTTGGATTTCCCGTTAGCTGTGTAAAAGGCTAGAGTCCGCATGGAAAAAAACAATAAAAAAAAAACTTTATGCATGATAACACACAAAATGTTACAGATTAAAGAATATTAATAGAACTGTTAGAAATGCGCTATGTATATTACAAAATATCAGCAGCCACACTAAAAGAACTCTTGACTGATCAAAACATCACACGTACCATGCTGTCAGATGTAAGCTTACTTGTTTTTTTAAATATTGATTTACTAGTTGATTGTACAATAGATGAAGGTTAAGTGTTTCATGCGGTTGTTACCTTATACATTACAGTTCATCAAAGATCTAGTGTTTACTCTAGAAATAAGGACCTGACCATCAGTTACATGTCTGGCAGTGTAAATGTGTGATATGTTGATATTTCTAACACCTCTGTTTAAGAACATTATGAGGATGAATTGATCATAAATGTTTTACACTCTTTATTCTCCCACAGAGACACCAGGACTTGTGTCCAGAGGAGAGCATTTACTGTGAGAATAAATGTGGGGCTCGAATGGTGCGCAGACTGATGACCCAGCACACTCTGTCTGAATGCCCCAAACGCAAGCTGTCCTGCAAGTACTGTAGCAAGGAGTTCCTCTGTGACACTATCCAGGTCTACCTTACTAAACATTTATCTTACTTAATACACAGTAATTAATGCTACAGTGATACTCACATGCTGGGAATGAGGGAGAGATATAGCCTTCATTATTACCATTCATCATAATCACTAATGTATTTTCCTTTGTCTTAAAACTTTCCTTTTTTTAAACAGCATCACCAGAAACAGTGCCCACGCTTCCCAGTGCAGTGCCCCAACAAATGTGGCACGCTTGGCATCGCCCGAGAGGATTTAATGGCTCACGTTAAGGAAGTTTGCGGGACTTCCATAGTGTTTTGCCCATTTAAAGAGGCTGGCTGCAAATACAAAGTAAGTATGGATGTTTCACTTCATCAGGAATCATGTATCAGTTGCCTAGTAACATCAGCTGATGTTGAACTTTGAAGATTTTCCAGCATCTGAAAAAACTGATGTTAAGCACCTTACGTTATAACAAACAGATGTCTCTGACAGACAGAAAACTGTTTGATTTATCGAGAATATTAAGCTGATGGTCACCACATGTTGACTTCTGTTAAAGTAACACAGGCTGAAATGGTAACTTTGAATACAAAACATGGTTAAAACAACAAAAAGCGTAAAATGCATCTAAATCTATCCTTTAGCATGAGTATAGCATGTTACAGCACACAAAAGCTCTGACCCCTGTGCTTTCATACACTATATGTCCAAAAATATCAAGGCACTCCTTCTAATTAGTGAATACAGCTACTGTGAGGTTCACCCATTGCTGATACCGGCATCCAATTGTGCACACACATGTTGGATAATCGCCATAGAAAAGCATTATCAATAGAATTGGACTTTCCCATGCCCAAAGCCATGCATCAGCTAGAGGGATATAAAGCCACCTGGCACTGGGCTGTGAAGCAATGGAACTGCGTTCACTGGAGTGAAGTGGCATTTGTAATCCAGAACTAACCATGCAACATCTATTCATTGACCTCACTAATGCTCTTGCGGCTGAATGCAGTCAAATCCTCACAGCAATGTTCCAACATCTTGTGCAGGGGTCGGCAACCCAGATGTTACGAAGAGCCATTTTGTCCTTTCAACAAAAATCAAACCCTCTTGGGAACCGCAAAGTTTTTTTGGTCCATTTTACCATCTTGGCCGTAAAGATGTCTCAGTATGTGCTAAAGTGCTAGGTTAGGCTAAAAGGTGTAATATAAATGATAACACAGACTTACTTTGCTCTGCTTTAAGCTTCAGCTCTGCTTTTCTCGCATCTCCGACAGGAAACTTTTCCGCAAAAGTGAAATTGTTTCCTGTAAAATGACTCTCAACGTTTGATTTTTTACGAGGCTGAAGTCAACTTGTCATTTGCCAGCTCCTTGTTCTAATTTTCCCGCTCCATCTTAAATGTAACTGCAGCACCATTTAAGGTAGAACGGGAGAATTCGAACAAGTAGCTGGCGAAAGACAAGTTGACTTCAGCCTTGTGACTTTTTAGTGTTTGACAGTTTCTCCCTGCAGATTAAACGTATCAGGAAACCAGCTGGAGTGATTGTAAATGCAAATAAGTCAATTTGTCTCCAAATTATGGATGTTCTTCTTAAATCTTTCTCTTTGCCTTTTCATTAGCTCCTAGATTGTGGTCTGTGTTGCTGTGACCAGCAGTCTGCACGCCAGTCTTCAGGGTTAAAGGGTGAATTAGCAGATATAGGCTTCATTAACTTCAACGTTTAAGACCATTTATTGTTAAAACTGTGTTAGAACGATCAGCAGCGCTTTATTTTACTGCAAAGGAGGATTATTTTATTTTTACCTAGAAATCGAATTCCTTTGTGGATCCGCAACAGGGCAGCAAATAGCCGCATGCCACTCCGGAGCCACGTGTTGCCAATGCCGGATCTAGTGCAAAGCCTTCCCAGAAGCAATGTTAGAACAACCCTCCAAATAGTACCGTTAAATTTCAGAAAAAACATTGGATGAGTAGGTGTCTACAATTTTTTGGATCCGTAGTGCATCAGTCAGTATAGCACTGCTTAACTGAAATCATTATATTGTATTTACATTTCAAGCCACATAAAATTACAACTCATTGCTAACTCCATAACTGTAACTCCTTAAAACTAGTATCAGCCACAAAATCTTCATGTTTTATTCCACTTACTAGCCTGTCCTGTTCTGTTCTGCTCATACAGTTTGCTGTTCCCCTTGTAGAGTTTGAAGTTCAGTCAAGATCTGTGTATCTTATTTATTTCTTTCCTCTCATTCTTCTCTTTCTTCCAGTGCTCCAAGCCCGGAGTGGCTCATCATCTAGAGGAGGCCACCCAGTCCCACCTCACTTTATTGTGTGGAGTGGTAAATCGGCAAAGACTTGAGCTGAGGGAGCTGCGGCGTCGCGTGGAGGAACTCTCTGGAAGCCAAGACGGCACTCTGCTCTGGAAAATCTCTGACTACAGCCGCCATGTGCAGGAGGCCAGGAGCCGGACCAACGGGAGCTTGGAGCTCTTCAGTCCTGCTTTCTATTCACATCGTCACGGTTACCGCCTCCAAGTCTCCGCCTTCCCCAATGGTAACGGAAGTGGTGAGGGCTGCCACCTGTCCATTTACATCAGAGTTCTGCCGGGCGAGTACGATGGTCTGCTGGAGTGGCCTTTTCCTTACCGTGTCACATTCTCACTGCTGGACCAGAGTGACCCTGCTCTCTCCAAGCCCCAGCACATCTTAGAGAGCTTCAATCCAGATCCCAACTGGAAGAACTTCCAGAGACCTCAGCCTGGGGCGATGGGGAGTGTCCGTGGAGGTTGCCTGGATGAGAGCATGCTAGGCTTTGGCTACCCCAAATTCCTCTCCCATGAGCAAATGAGGAAAAGGAACTACATCAGGGATAATGCTATCTTCATCAAAGCCTCCATAGATGTGGTCCAAAGGATAATCAACTGAACTCAACATGAGATATAAGATTCAATGAGTTTGACTGTTTTTTACTGGCATTCCTGTTTTTTTTTTTAACTGAAAAAAGTGACAAGAGAGAAAAAGAAGGTTGATAGGAAGATATTAATGGACAAGGAGAGGGACAGAGTTGAGTTAGCAACAAGGGAAAACTCATCTCAGTATAGAGCTACCCATCAAGTTCACTTGGGCAATATTAGGATGAAGTGATATTCATCAAACTTTTCCAACGTGCATTTAAAACAAATTTGTTTACTGTTTTACACGGTATGTGACTTAAACTAAAAAAATAGCCTTAGTGTTTTGTTTCTTTCACAGTGCCACTACAGGGTCAACAGTCCTAATAACTCAGCACTCATCAGAACATCTAAAGACACAACTATGCTGGCTGCTGCATCACCCTAGCTTCCCTATCGCCCCATACTTTTCCGTACAGCACATAGCTCCTGCCATGCACCAGTGCTTGAATGTTTTTACACAAGCAATTTCTTTCCATATTTCAGTTCTAGAAAAACTGAAATGTAGGTTGTTTTTGAAGACTGTGCATATATTTACAGATGATCATCAATCCTGTTATCGCACTGTTTCTTTATGGAAGCAGCAAGTACTTTACATTAAAGCCTGTTCTCTAAATACTACTTCCTGTGGCACTTTTACTAAAATTACTTTAGTAACAAACACTACGGCAGGGATATGATTTATAAGGATTTGGAGATTAGGACAGTTAACTAACTGAGTATAGAATATATTGTCTTTGTTTCTATGGTTCATGATTCAGGGTTTAGGATTTTACATCCATTTCAAATGATTGCATTGGAATTCATGTTACACCAGTTTGCTAAATGTGAAGTCATTTAAATAAATGGTGTTTTTTATTGAAACAGTTTTCATGTTGTGTTTTCATGTCATGCCATAAACATAACTGTTTTTCTGGAATCAGCCTGGCATGCTGACTAATGCTGAACCAATTGCAAATTGTAATGAAACATAAAGATTTTACTTAATACAGGAAAATTAAAAAAGCATTTGAACTGATCCTCATTCTACGTTTTAAATCCCATGTTTATCAGGATGCTGGAAGATGTTGCCATTTGTTTCCGTACTGATGCTCAGTTCACTGAGCTGCACTGTAGCTTTAATAGATTGCGCTGTGTGAAATTTCAATAATGTTGAACATTTATTAGAAATACAGCATCATTTTACTGTGCTGTCCTGTATGACTCTGTAATCTCAGCAAAGATACCTGTGGTCTAAGAAGGATTTCGTCCTTTTAAACAGAATCATTAATACTGCCCAAACGTCTTTAATATTAATGTAAAATCTGTTATGTTGTCTTGCTCTCTGCGGATCACATAACCAATGTAATAGGTGCTGTTCAGCAGTACAGAACCCAGTCAAAAATAGGTACAAATCTGCTTTTCCAGAGTAAAAACTACAATTTAAAGTGTGGTTAACCTGATAATAACGCTATTTTGTTAATCTACACAGAATTATGACCACATTAATCATTTGCTCAGTAAACTACTCCCATTGGTCTCTTCAGCAGATTCAGAGCACTCAGCAGGCCCTGTCAGACACTGTATATGAAGAGTGGTAACGTGCTAAATATCCAAAATTACTCAGCTTCGTTTATCATGTTAACTAATTACTTTTACAGACGTGTTCTCGTTTTCATACGTCGATCTTGTGCTGTGCTACACAAAGAGATGTCACTATGCTTAACGCAGACAAAGACTGTTTTTAGGTTGCTAATTGCTAAACAATGTAGCACTCATTGAAACAGTGCAGGAGAGAGGCAGAGGCTGTACAGGCAGCGTAGAGATTCAGGTAAAGATGGTTACTTGGCATAAAAAACAAGACATACCCTCCTCAGTCCAGAGACTGGACAGTTTAAAAACAAATAATGTCTTGTTTTGAAACATGTCTTCTGCTGCATACTACATAACATAATACATTAAATATTACTGGGAAACACATTCAGTGTCCAGTGTACTGGACATTTGGACTTAGGCGCATGAAATGTAAGAGATTTTGAAAAATTAACATGTTTACAATCCCCAACATAACAAGACTCAAAGCAAGCACTGAACTTTTCTGTGTACGGTGTCTGTGTCTGTAACTGTATTTAAATATGCATGAAAAAGTTTCTGAACTCTTGGAACCACCTGGACTTCTGCAGGAATAACTCTGAAAATATTAAACTGTCACTGGTGTCACAGATTTGTTATTATAAGATGTTCTTTTTGATGAAATATTGACTGTATTAGGAGTATCTGACTTGAAATGTTAAAATTTATTTTTTTTTACGAAGTAGCATATGGAGGTACATTAATATATATAAAAAACCTCTGCATTTTTGTATTTTTAGTGCATGTGTATAAAAGAGCTTTAGTAGTATGAGTATTCAAATTGAATTTCTTCAATAAATACAGTGACATTAAATGTAAATGAAAAATAAATACATTTATGACAAAAAGAGTGCCTCGTTAAGGGGTGACACCAGTGACAAATAAACTAAAACTTTTTACATTAAAATAAATTAAAATATGTTTGGAATTAGGCTCTCTTTTTCTGCACATATGATAATAGTAGATGTTAATGGACATATTAAGATTGTTTGGTTTTGGGATGAAGTGATTTTTTTTTTTTTTGTGATTCATTTTTATTTTCCGTTTAAAGAACTCCTGTGTCTCTTTTGTCCATGGAGATTGTGAAGTTATAAGCCTATAAACACTTGCTGTTAGGTTCAAATTGACTAACTGAAAAGGGGCTTTACAATCTTGACGACATAAAAATAGAAACTTTTTGGTGCTATATAGAACCATTTTCAAAGAGATCTCTTTATAGCACCATTTAAGCATGAAATAGTTCAATATAGAACCCATGGTTCTAAATAGAACCATTCCCATTACTTTTTTAAGACCGTACTTTAAAATTGTACCCATAGACATTGTTAACAGTAATGTATTGTTTGTTTCATACAACTTATAACCAGACAGGCAAACGGCCTAAGGGGTCACAAAACGAATTTGAAAAATACGCAAAATTGTTTTTCAGTCTAAGGACCCCTGCAGATCTCTCAGAATCAAGTGCAAACCAAGACTCATTGTGAGTTCCACAGTTTGCTGTCCTGTGCTACAGAATGAGACTCTTGGAAAAAAAAATCTGTTTAAAGCTGTTTAGCATATAAAAATAAGGCTTTTTTTAACAGATTCTCTTAACCACCTGGCATTAAGTGAAACTAATGATAAAGACATATGACTAGAACAAGGACTGAGAAAAACAAAGAATAAAAAGCATAAAAGCGCTAACAAAAATGAGTGCAAGCTATTCACAAACCAGATCAGCACTGTTTAACATGAAAAGCTTAAAATAAAGCCAAAAAAAATTATGTTCTCTTGTTATGCAGAGCAGTGCAAACAGCTTTATTGCATTATTGTTAAGGATAGTTTTTTGACCAGGTCTTGACATTTATGGCCCAAACTAAAGACCTAGCTCTGATAGTCATGCTTTCCACCTAATTCATAAAATTCAGCATAACCAAGAGATGAATAAATAATAATAGAGACTGTAAAGGGGAACGTATTTGTATCCCACACTTTTACTTTACAGACAATGATTAAGAAAAGGCACAGTGCTGTGGAGGGGTTTTATTATAAATGTAATACAATAATGAAATGCAGTTGAGTACCTGAATGTGCCTGAAACAATTAAAAAATAGAGACTGAAATGAGAAGACATTAGTGAAATTTTCTCAACAGTTGTTGTGGTGATGGTCTCACAGCTGCCTCAGTATTTTTGTCAGTTGAATGTTCTAGGACAGAAATAATAGAAAATTCCATTATGACCACTGCAATAAATTAAACCTATATGGGACACAAACCACTTGAAAAAATGAAATTAAGAAGGGCTTTACAATGTCCACATCACTAAAACCCCTCCACTTTGAGGTGCATTAGAAGGACAGGGGAAATGATTGGTTGCCGAACACCACTTCTCCGCCCAGGCCCTCTAGATCCTCCTCACACTCAACTGAAAGCTGAAACAATTTAGAAGATGCTTTTAGTTTTTGAAAATCAGATTGTGCACAAAATTAAGATCACAAAAGAAGGAAATGATGAATTATCTCTGACTTATCACCTTGGTGCCATCCTCAATCAGTTGTTCCTTCTCAGTGTCCATGGCATCTGGAACTTCCTCCATGAAACTATGATCACAGAGTAGAGAAAGAGACTCATATAACTTTCAAAATAATACACAAAGGACATTAACTACAATGAATTTACACTAATCATCTATTTAATAACAATTGTGAATAGTTCAGGACACTAGTTAGTTAGTCATTAAGAATAAAACTTACAAACTGAGATTTCGAGCTTCCAGAACATCAAGATCAAACACCTGTAGACATAATATGATCGAATTGTGAGGCAAAGAAAGTATTAAGTAAACAAGAGCGTCTGGCTATACAGTTCAAACCTGAAGTAAACAGCAGTTTAATTCAGGTGGTGCAAACTTGGTGTTACTGTGTGGTGGATGGGGGGGTGGTGCGCATGGGAGGGGATTGGATTTTGCTTGATAATATGCATAAATATAAATGCATAACTGTACTGTATTTTTACCTTTTTGCATACATCTGTAAAAATGCAGAAAGTCAACAAATGATTATTATACATTAAATAAATTACATTTATAACATATACGTAGGGCAGGCAAGCGCTTTAAAATGCTGCAGTCTGGCAAAAATCTAATCAGCCTAGTGAGACTGGATGTAGTTTTATGCTATTTTTTGAAGTTTTTAGGGATAAACATACTGGGCTAACGGTAGCTTGGCTGAATCCCTATTAATAAATCAGAAAAGTGTAAACTATGTCAGCTGCGACATGACCGCAAATGTAATCTAATCCAGTCTGATGTAATATAATCTAATCCAAATAGTGTCTGTATGAAGCACTGCTGTTCTTGGCCATGGTTAAAATTTTGTGATGGTATATTCCAGTCATTTATTTTATTTACGTAAAATTTATTGACGTAAAATTTGCAGAAACTTTTTTTCTGAATACCAAGCTTCTGTCTTTGGAATAGGATATACCCAGGGGGTATTCCACACGCTGCCTGTAGGATTTGCAACATGTCCTAGACATGCACTGAAACACTTTCACTGAAACAAAAAGACTTCACTGATTTCACTTCAACAGTTTTGATCACTTCAGTGATTCACCCTTCCAAAACATGACAAATTTAATTCTTTCACTGGGACTTGATGTCATGGCAGAAGTTTGACTACATGAGCTCCAGGAAAGTGTTGTCAGCAAACAAAAATTCTGACTTAAATGTTTAGTTCTCTTTATGTGTTGCCTCCCGTGGATCCTTTGGCCTGAAATCATGATCATCATTAGTGATGTCATCAATATTAACAAATCATCTCTGGTGTAACTTCAACATTGATGTCAACAAAGCCATAATAAGGCAACCAGCCCAACACACCAAAGCATAAATAGACATAGATAGACTTTAATATGCAAAAATGAACATGTTTTTCATGAAAATACATTAGTCTTCTTGATGCCAGTCTAATACAGTTTTTACTGTAATCAAGAACTATTGCTTACCTCATTCTGGCTGATAAGCTCTTCAGTCTGGCTCTCTTTGCAGAAGCACAGTCCCTGTGTTCAGCAGAAAAAAATACATTCAAGAGAAAAAAGACAGCAAACATGGGTTTTTTAAAGGTGTGTTTTGAAGTTGCCTGGGTGGTCCTTAATGATTTATCCACATTCATAGCTATGTAGGCATTGGGTTCAAAAATATTAACAACATTACAAAATAGAAGTAATAATAACAATAATAATAATAATAATAAAAAGTTTAAACACCCTTGGTC